ATTTAAGTCGCAAAAGGGTTCATAATCTTAAATATGGTACCATAAAAACAGATATTGGAAACCATCTTGGACGTTACTCTCGGTTCAGTTTGTAACTATCCTCGCAAGTGTAGCGCGAAGAACCGAATTCAGCAACTGCGTGATATGAGGATGTACCGGTTAAGCACCGCTGATAGTGCCAGTTGGAAACAAATTAATTCAATAGCGCAAACCGCACTACGTGATTTCGTAGACTGATGACAAATTTGAACAATTTAAAACAGATAAAGCTGTAAGTTAACAGCACATCGAAGTTTCATTTCCCAATCTGTATATGTTATGCGTGGACGAGTAGAAGGAAGCTGTTGTTGGCCTGCAAGGAAACTATCTTTCACATAGCTGACGCACGCTATGAAGATGATGTGCATCAAATGTCTGCACTAACCAACAGCGGATACAGGCCTACACGCAGATTTCAGAAACCATCACTGCTCATCAACTGCAGGTGGTCTATGTACTTTCTCGATCATATTGCAACTACTTCTGCTCACTCAGCAGTGACTCTGGGTCGTCGCCACCGTTAGATACACTGAGTTCCGCGTCACTCAGTTAGAGATCCGTTGGAAAAACATAAGCGGTGTTTACTGCAGAACTGCCGTGACAATCTTCCAGTTTAAACGCTTAATAATAATTTTGTTGAAGTCTGCCGAAAATGAAAATAATACCTTCCGGAATATGTGAATCGAGATGGTCAATAGAAACACCCGATGTATATCCGGTACGATGACTGGTTTGTGATCAACTACATCCCTTGGAAGTTTTCAGCCTAACGGTATCACCGTTGAAATTTATGGCAACCATAAAAATTCGCCACAAATATTTTACGTCGTTCATATTGAGTTCTTCCGAAAGTGCCCAGTTTGTAAGCATTGAAAAGAGCGACATAGCGCGGCTGTGTTCCTATTATGACAGTTATTTCTCTTGTTAACCAGTGTCGCAACAGAAATGAGTGTAATCAAAAAGATAAGTCGCATCAGTTCTCCCATGTGAAGAAGTGCCTTAAACATCAGATAGTCAGCACCATTTAATTACCACAGACATCGAAAAGTCTACGTCGTGCTCTCTCAACTTGGATAAAACAGATGCACATGCGCACTACGAAAGACCATTGTGATTGTGGGAATGGCTCACCTTAGGGGAAAGACACGACAACGGACGCATCTTGACTAGAATGGACCACTGTACAGAGGAATACGTTCTCAGTAGTTGATTATGTTGACCGGCTCTGACATTGGCCAATCAACGGTTTGATGCTTATAGTTCAGTGGGCTTAGGCGAAATCAATTGTAAGAGAGAGAAAGAGCAACATGTAATAAGTTCGCATCAATCGCAATTGAAAACAACTTGTAAACCGCGCACCTACCAACAAAAACAGTTGTGAACGCAAACAATAAATGGCAGCTTTTGGCCTAACCCCAACATTTGTTTTCCAAACCTTACGAGTCAGTAGGCTGGGTGCGCAAGGGTTAGTTGGAGCGAATAGTTTTGACAGCTGGCATCCGTGGAAATGAATTAATTACTTTGGCAAGGAAAGCTGATAACCTTATCGGCATGTGACGCATCACCTTTGTGTCTGGGACTAATGGCGTGGAAACTATGCTTATTCTTCACATATTTTCACAGTGAGTGTGATTTCTCACGACCAGAGGCAAAGTTTGGCATGCGGATTCTAGGCAACACCTACAGCTAGGCTAATTTCGACCGTACAATGGATGGTATTGCTTTGTTACCACTTATTTCAAGCTATATTTTCAGCAAGACCCTTTCATGATTCAACTCTATGATACCTCACGCAACTGAAAGACGTGGAAGAAAAATACAGGTTGCGGATGCACAATGCTTGTACACTTACTATAAACCATTTTATGAATGCACACTCTAAGTCAGTAACGAAGCCTCAGTTCTTACTGTCTAATGATACTTGCCAACGTAACCGCTCAGACCAGGAACAAATCCATCTGCATCACAAGAGTATAAAACTTTGAAGGCTGTAACAGTAAACTGCTCCTTATTTTCTGAGGCAAAAGAGCGAGCGGAAAGATCACTTATAGAGCTAACAAATCCGTTCTGGTCTGTTCTTAGCAACAAAGCGTTTTCAGGGAGAAATATCAGATGATATCAATGGAAATCAGAAGGAAGATAAGATTTGGTCACAAACATGGGTAATTTGAAGACTAAGTACCGTAAAAAATTGTTATTTCACATTAAATAGAGCAATGCTTATGGGGTAAATGCAAGACAAGTTGGTTATAGCTACCATTTTACAGTGGGTAACTATCAATAGAGAAACGATATCGGCATAAACACAGTACGATGTATAAACGCTTCTTCGCACGTAAATACAAGCGGTCACAGGTATGCTGGGAGTCCGAGTTCGTGCGTGTTGGGATTTGAGCCCGACAAGTGCAGACAGTAGTTCAGATGTCGACACCATTGCACCGAATAACTATTAACTTTATGGCGATAAGAAATGAAACACTTTGTGAGCCTCTAGCAACAGTTGCAATGAAAACAAGTGTGATATAAGTTCAGGTAGTGTGTTCCTACGCACGCGACAAGAAGGATGAGCAGTGTTTGTTCACAACGTAGTGGATGACTAATATAGTTAAAACCGGAAGATTTGCTCTCAACGCTGAACCGATATGATCAGTAAAATGGGAAATTATCATTTTCTAGACTGTCAATAGCTGTGTGAACTGGCAGTGCACTAGACTCTTCCAGGGTCTAACCCCGCCCTCCTCATTCCGACTTCAAATTGTCAGTTTACAAGTCAAAAAGCATTGCAAAACAGCGAAGGTTGCCGGTTTCCGTTCATAACATGTTACGCGAGTGTTCCGTCGACATCGATTTTATGTAAGTAAAACACCAACAATAAGTTGTTTTTACACCGTTGTAAAAATGCCTAGCCACATGCTTTGAAGTATAATTGAAAATTCATGTGTGTGCTTAATAGGTGGCGTTGCAGAGGTTACAGTAGTTTCTCTTAACTACACGCATCCTTGCATCTGCAGTTAGCGACAACTGTCAGGGCAATAAACAAACATGCTCAGTAAGCCAGAACGTGCACGAAAAAAGAGACAACTCAAAGCATTCACAAGTAGTAGGTGGTTATGAAAAGAGAGGGAAAAAACGGCGTGCTTTACAAATTACGGAAGAAAGGGCTGTTATGGTGGCAAGATGAAAAATGTAAACGGAATAAGCATGTTGGATGGAACAGCGATGAATTATCAAATGGTTACAACACACCAAGCATTAACACTTGAGATGTTATAGGAATCTGGTTATCCAACCGCTATCGGCGTGGCGATGAGCGAAAACGTCCCAATTGTAGATCTGTTGTCGGTTAAGCAACCTATTTGGGGCCGAAATATCAAGTGAAGTTCATCAGTGGGCAGAAGAATGAGTCAATAGCGAATGACATAGCTTGTTATTGTTCAACGAACAAGTGTACCCAAATGACCCTAAATTGTATGATTTTTTCAACTTGATTATGGAAGGAAAACCGCTTGCACTATGGCAAGTCGAACGTCACTCGTTGTGTGGACCAAAGTAAACGCCTATCATCAACTCGCGTTCGTATTAACGAACTCATAAAAATTCACTGCGTGAAGCGTCTGTTTAAACAGAGAACCTATTTCGATAGATTTAAACTGTGCCTGAGCAACTCTGTCTACTTTGGCATAAATGGCGGATGAGTTAAACGAAGGCGGCGTAGACTTGGAAATCGCATCCTTTTATTATGCTGAAGTCAGATATGCAGTTTTGCTGTCGAGCTGGCGCAATTTTTATGTTAAAGACTACAAATATACACTGAGGTTAAATAGGGACACTATTGTTGACGTGGTATAGTGATGCGATAGCACCAGTAGGCTGAAGGCAACACTTCTCGCATCTAACCTTAAAAAGGAGTCAAATATTGTATGCTACACGGTACGGCACGAGCTTTGTTGTCGATGTTTCCAAATTGCATACACGTCCTGTGTACTCAAGACTAAATGCTCCGGTTTTCACGGCTGAAGGTTAGACGATGGTGATTTCTTTGGACGCTGTCGACTGAATGAAAAGCAACACATATGTAACCTAATGTGCTGCCTTCAGCATCTTAAATAGTGTTAGCGTTGGCCAGGTTAACTTAACTTTTTTGGATGCGGCTATTAATTCATTAACACCTCTGAGAGCCTGCTATCTAATCGTACGTTGAACGATGGTATCGGTTTATCTCCGTTCCTTACTACACTGATATCGGTTCTCATTCATCTCATTTACTTATTAACATTACGCCTTCAGGTTTCATTCCCTTCACTGTAGTAGTAGTAGTAGTAGTAGTAGTAGTAGTAGTAGTAGTAGGGGCATATTTGCAGAGTTCAGCAGTGAGACGCAGTGCGTTGCATGTGTTAGTATGCAAAGTACTGCAACGCAACGGGAGACTGACTTGACCTTAGGTCTGTCTAGGGCAGTATCAGTCAGCTGGCTAGCCCGAAAAGCTGTGTTTCATCTCCAGTATACCCTGATGATCATGTAGAATTTAGGGAAACAGAATTGGCTTTCCAAGATAAGAAGGTGAAGAAATTTACGCAAAGAACATGACACCTAGCATCAAACTTCGCTGATTGTGTATGAGCGGATCTTAATCAGAGCCACCACTCGCATCCCCGAGAAAGTTTATGAGTTAATAAAGAATCATGGTGAACCTGATGCCGGTGCACCGAAGGCAAGAATGGAGTACTTAGGCTTCACATATTGAGCAGAATGCTCAAGTACCTTGATAACTCCGACATTCGTTCCAGGTTATCAGAAAAATCCTACGGTTATTAAAAGGTATTGATATGATCAGCATAGCTAATTCGCTCTCTATTCCTTAATTTGTGATGAAAGTTGTGAAAAATGTCGGTAGAGAAATGTTATAAACATGTCTGCAACCTAATATGCATTATGAAATACTCTCGTTCAGTGGTACTTACCATTTATGAAGCGCTTTTGTTTGTGAGTTGTAGACACTGCCCCGTTCAGATGCTTGGATAGTGCCGCGGAACGGAGAATACGTTTGGCACACTGATCAAGCTGGGGCTGGTTCTCTCGGTCACAAGCAAGACAGTTGTTACGGGAAACATGTTGATGGACATGTCGCGTGCAATGTGCATCATTCAAGTCGCAGTGAACGTGATTGACATGGAACATATTCCGTTCGCGCCCAAGGGCATGAATGTCTCCTCTATGGTCGGGACTTAACCAGTGTTGCGAAACGCCAGGATGTTCAACTCGAAACACGCGGCCGGAATGGCGATGAAACAACGGAGACCTCCACCTCCGTGACATTAAAACCTGATCGACTTGTGACCTGAAAGTATCACATATATAAAACTTCTATAATTAGGTTAAAAATAGTTGTGATGAAAAAACAGTAAAAGGCAGCATACTCTACAACGCTGTACAGAATGCAGTTGTTGTTAAGTAAATACGATGCCCACATGCACACTGTGGATTGTCATATTAGAACGTCGTCCGGATCCTCGTCGATTAAATGTATGTGAAGGTTCCAGGAAGGTTGAAAGGCAATAAGCGACAGTTAGAAAACTAGCGGTTTGTACACTTTGCAAACTATCTAATCACAGTGGTATTTATTCATACATCATGTGATGAGTGGCCACTTAAATATTAGAAGCGAAGACCATACAGAAACTAGTCCAGAAACTGGAACATAGGGTTTCACGAGTGAAAAGGGTTAACGGTGAACACCCATATATACATATATATATATATATATATATATATATATGCCCCATGCTGAGGCTGATGTTGCATTCATGATGCTTCTTCACCGCAGTTGGGCTAAACCGACTTACACTTAAACTAGGTCTCATTTTAAGCTGGATAAATTTCATTCCATTTCATTTGATTTGTTCTGCCTACCGGAATAATCTTCCATTATATTTCCACGTTGCTTACGGTAATTGTGATTGGCTTCGTTAACTTTATTGTGCTTGTAGCATTTTCTGAATCACTTCTGGACATTTTTTACTTACCGCGGATTTGCTGCTGACCAACATGTGCTAATTTAGGGAAGAATTATGTCTGCATAGCCGTATTCTTTAACAGATATATTTTATTTGTTACTGTTTTTTCAAGTGATCTGCTGTTTTTTGACATCCCCGGTGCGGCTGCGCTTGATATGCATGGTGACAATGTGTCTACTTGTCTATTACCCACTACCTCGTCCACACCGGCTCTAGGAGATAGTTGGTCGTTGCTGGAGGGCACGGGGTGCACGGTCCTTGTGGTCGTGCTAGACTCGAAGAGTGGTTCCATGCAGTCAGTGTGGAGCGGACTATGGTCCAGCCACCGCCTTGTGTGCGCGTGATTCCCAAATACAGCGTGCTTGTGTTTGCCTGTGAAGGAGTGTGGGCCGGCTCCATTGATGAAACGTGGCTCACATCCACATGCCTCCCGGTCTTATTCCTTCAGGTTTACACTGGATATGGGGTGTGTGGTTGGAGATGTGGATGGTGCAGCGCAAGCCATCCATGGTCCCTCTGTAGGCGCTGGCGTCCTGTGGCTGGCCGCAGTGACAGGCAAATCCGAACCCGGATGCCGCCAACCATATATATATATATATATATATATATATATTATATATATATATATATATATATATATGGCGGGAGAGCCTATGGTGCTCTGAGGCTGGTGGTGGCTAGATCCTGACAGATGGTCTACCCACTGCTGCTACTGCTGCGCCATAGTCTCATGTCCTGGGCGCCTCCACGTGGCGACCGCTGGGTGGGAGTTGGGTTTCGCCCTTCTCCCTGCTAAGATCCAGGACACTAATCCGCATGAGTCGGCTAACTGACCATGTGCTAGACTCGCTGCCTTTCGGGTGTTCATTTAATCGAAGGCTTTGGCTGAGGACCCGAGTCGTTCTCCTGTCAGGATTGGGCGCCCTGGCAGTATCCTAGTCCATCCTCTCCGGAGGTTAGGAAGTGGTCGATGGCCCTCTTCCCGTAAAACCTAGCCATGGGAGACAACAGGTTTACGGGTTATATTCTCAAAGCTCGATTGGCGTAGAGCACGAGGGCCACGCATTGTCTCTGACGGTGGGAGGACACCTCCGGGTGTTCAATGGTTTGCTACTGCCCGCCTCAAGCCAGGCAGCCCCTGGTCAAATTGGTGCAAACCCGCCAAAAACCCACCTGCGTCTGGCCGTGGTCGCAGGTGCGTTTCCTATTACGGTCGCAAAACATATGATAATTGTTCCAGAACCTCAAACGCTGCGTGTGACGGCCGTCAAGCAGATCCCAATCTGTCTCTGCAATCACATTCCCGAGCTGGATCTGCTCTCCACTGCCTTGTGGGTCAGGCTATTGAGCCAAAGGCTCCGGGCGGAGTCCCTCAAGCAAATCTCCGAATCACCCACTGCCTTGTGGGTCAGACTATTGAGCCAAAGGCTCCGGGTGGAGTTCCTCAAGCAAACCTCCAAACCACCCACTGCCTTGTGGGTCAGGCTATTGAGCCAAAGGCTCCGGGTGGAGTCCCTCAAGCAAACCTCCGAAGCACAACGACCACCTCGCGTGCGACTGCCCACCAATGCAATCGTATGCCTGCGCGCAAAGCACTCAGCATCGGGTGATGGAACGTGCGCACACTACTGGACCGGAACTCGAGCGAGCGCCCGGAGCGACGCACTGCACTGGTCGCGATGGAACTGGCGCGCTACCACATCGATATTGCGGCGCTCAGTGAAACTCGGCTCGCTGAGCAAGGTAAGTTACATGAAGCAGGTGCTGGCTACACATTCTATTGGGTGGGGAACGCCGCCTCAGCACCACGTGAACATGGGGTCGGATTTGCAATATCCGATCGCCTGAATGGCCAGCTGGTGGGTGAACCAACGGGCATCAGCGCGCGACTGATGACTGTTCGCCTACGACTCGGAAGAGGTAAGTTTGCTACTTTTATAAGCACGTACGGTCCGACCATGAGTTATCCTGATGACACGCGTGATCAGTTCTACACTGAGCTATCCTCCGTGATACGGTCTGTGCCGAGGAGCGACCGACTATTTCTGCTGGGTGATTTCAACGCGCGCGTTGGGCGTGATGCATCGGTGTGGACAGATGTTATCGGTGCGCATGGCATTGGTTCAGTGAATGCGAACGGTGACAGGCTGCTCTCACTGTGTGCCACTCACGGCCTGACGATCACGAACACTCGGTTTGCACTGAGTGCGAGTGATATAGCAACTTGGACGCACCCACGGAGTGGTCACGCTCACCTGCTCGACTATGTCATCGTACGTCAGCGTGATATGCGTGAAGTGCGCATGACACGTGTACTGCGTGGAGCTGAGTGTGGCACTGATCACAAATTGGTTCGGACCAAACTGTACATATATTTTCGTAAATCGATGTATTGCACTCCCGCCATGAATCGGCGTAAATTTAACATTCTCTCCCTCGGTACTGTGGCGAAACGTATTGAGCTGGAGAAGGCGATGGCTGCACGCCTGTGTGGTGATGTGGACTGTATAGCCACAGTGGGCGACCTGTGGCACCACATTCGCGATCAGGTGACAGCTGCTGCCGAGGAGACCATTGGGCGCGCAAACTGTAAACGGCCTGATTGGTTTGATGACAACAATGCGACGATTGGCGCATTGGTGTCAGAGAAGAATGCAGCATTTGCTGCACATGCTGCAGACCCCAGTGACTTGGGAAAGAGTAGTCAGTTTCGCAAACTTCGACGGCGACTGACCCGAGAGCTCCGTCGCATTAAAAATGCATGGTGGACGGAGAAGGCGAAGCAGATGGAATGCTACGCCGAACGCCGCCAACACAAGGAATTCTTTGACTCCTTGAAGGCGGTGTATGGACCGAGATTGGAGCCGCTGAGGACACTGATCGATGGTAGTTCAGGCGCTACCTGCACCCAGACTGCAGACATAATGCAGGTCTGGCGGAAACACTTTGAATGTCTCTTGAACAACCGTTCAGAGATCGACTGGCCTACATTGAACGGCCTGAAGCAGCACGATGTGAAGGCGGATCTGGCGGATACGCCGACACTGGATGAGACGCAGAGAGCACTTGCTCAGCTGCGAAACGGCAAGTGTGCCGGAGCCGACGGGATCCCGCCTGAAGTATTGAAACACGGTGGACCCGCGTTGTTGACTGCGCTGCACCACTTGGTGCAACGCGTGTGGATTGAGGAGGAGGTGCCTCCTGAGCTGAAGGATGCCCTTGTGCTACCACTATACAAGGGCAAAGGGAGCAAGCAATGTTGCACGAATTATCGTGGCATCAACTTGCTGAGTTGTGTGGGCAAGGTGATTGCCCGAATCCTGCTCAATCGCCTCGTGAGTCAGATTGTGGAACCTAACGTGGCGGAAGAGCAATGTGGATTCCTTTCGGGTCGCAGCACTATAGATATGGTGTTTGCGGCTCGTCAGTTGCAAGAGAAGTGCAGAGAACGACACCAGCCATTGTAATCGCTTTTTGTTGATTTCACCAAGGCATTTGATACGGTGAACCGCGAGGCATTGTGGCTGGTGTTGGGTAAGTTTGGTTACCCGCGTAAGTTTGTAAGTTTAATTGAATGTCTGCACAGTGGTATGCGAGCGAGGGTGCAGCTGAGTGGAGAGACCTCGGATGACTTTGCAGTTGTCTCTGGTGTGAAGCAAGGATGTGTCTTAGCTCCTGCCCTGTTTAATATCTATCTTCATGCAATGTTGTCTTGTGCTTTTGATGCCGCTTGTGCTTACGGTGTTCGTGTGGAGCAATGTATTGATGGTGGGTTGCTGAACATCCGTCGTTTCGGTGCGAGAACTCTAGTCTGTGAGACAACTATCCGTATGTTGCTGTTTGCTGACGACTGTACGTTGTTTTCACACAGCGCGGATGAGTTGCAGCACATGACTAGTGCTCTGGCTTTGACAGCGGCCAAATTCGGGCTCACCATCAACACAAGCAAAACTGTCTGTCTCTTTCAGCCTTCACCGGAGGTGCAATCTTCAATTTTGCCGCAAATCAGCATTGGTGCTGAAGTATTGGAAACCACCTCCCGCTTTTGCTACCTTGGGAGTGTGATATCGACTGATCAGCAGCTACACGTTGAGTTGCGTATTCGCGTGTCGAAGGCGGCAGCGGCATTCGGGAAGCTTGAGTACCGAGTGTGGAACAACCATCAGCTTAGCATTGGCACGAAGCTGATGGTGTACAAATCCATGGTACTGTCCGTTCTTCTATACGGCAGTGAAACGTGGAAGATGTACCGTCGGGATGTGCGATATCTCGAGCGGTTCCATCAGCAGTGTCTGCGACGAATTTTGCGGATCGGTTGGGGCGC